ATGGGCATGCTGCAAATCCTGTCAGCCCAAGAGCGTTACCTGATGGGGATCAGAAGACAAACTTTTTCTGCATTGGCTTCTACTCTATAGAACATCCATCCTTCTTTCAGAGATTAGAATGATCTTTCATCAGGCCCTAAAGACCTGGCTATATTCCTGAGCCTGGGCTGCTGAATGTGTTAAATGCCCCATTTCCTAGCTGTATTGCTAACTGGCCAAGTAATCTCTGTGCTTGGTATATTTACTTTGGATATTTCTATTGTTTTAAAAAAAAATTAGTATTTTTTTGATTGGAATGGAATATTATTACATTAGATGGGCGGCTATAGAAATGGGATAAATGAATAAATAAGCAAACAAACTTTAAAATCATCCCTGAAAAGAACATTGTGAGGAAGTTTCATAAAAATGTGCGTCCATATCTAGCTATTCAGCTATTATATTAGATATGCTCAGTTGATGGAGCAATGTTTCCATTAGACCACATCGCTTCTTAACTCCCCCACAAGAGGGTCTAAACAATGTCGATTCTTATTTCATTTCTGAAAGGATGCCTTCACCCTACAAAATCTTTGTACCTCCATAGATAATGTTATACTGTTCCTGCCAACTAAATCCTACACTCCTATTAAGTTGCTGGCAGCAACAAGTGTTTACAACCAGCAAATTGGAAAAGCCCTTCGGTAGAGTTCCTTTGCACTTCAGCTTCAAAATCCATCAAAGAGAATCCCATGCGCTCCTAAGTGTGAATGAACATGCTAATAAAGACACACAACCATAGCCTCAAGAACTAGAATAGATCAGGATCTCCCTGGGAATATGCCAGCATATGCTGGAATCGCATGAGAAAACTTGCCTTCTTATAATCACTTCCTTCCTGAAGTTCTTAAGGTTTCATCTGGACAAAAAGGGGAAGGTAATTGTCTGTTTTCACACAGCAGAAGCAAACCACCCCTAGTTTCAAACGAGCAGAGAATCTCTAAGCACAGCACTGCAGAGTAGACCCACCAGTTGCAATTCTTTTGCCATCATTGCAGGGTCCAAAACAAATCCTACATTGGACAGATCATGCAACCCCCGGATGTTTTGAGGCTTCTTCAATTACCAGCCATTTCAGAGTATAGAGCAGGAATCTCTCCCCCTCCCACTTCAGTTAGCATAGATTGGGGTCCAAAATTTCCAGTCCATAGCCATATAGGATTTGTTCCTATCCATGACCCAAAAATAACAGTCCATCGGTGTCAAACTTTTTACCCAGAGGTACACGAGGCCCCCCAAAAGTTCATGATAAAAGATAGTATCCTGTTCCCCCCCAAAATAAGACCTCCCTGGATAATAAGGCCAATCGGGCTTTTGAGCACATGCACTAAAATAAGGTCCCCCCCAAAATAAGCCCTCCCCTAAAGTATTTAGACGCATGCGCAGCCGATGCCTGCCATTTCCTCGGGGCAAGGGGGGGCATGCCCCACATGCACCTGCCATCCACATGGAACAGCCTTGCAGAGGCTGCTTCCACAAATCCTAGCTACTGTGCCCCTTCTCCTAGTGGTGGCCGCAAAAAGAGCAGCGGGCCCAGTAACGGTAGGTCTGGCAATAGTGTGCCAGAGACAGAGACAGAAGTTCTAGCGCTCTCTGAATCAGCTGATTCATGGGCCGCAAACCAAAGTTAAGGGGCCTCCTGCATCTCAAAAATAATAAGACCTCCCCGAAAATAAGGCCAAGTGCTTATTTTTTTTGGGGGGGGTAAAGAAAATAAGATCCCATGTTATTTTCAGGGAAACACGGTATCATAATATGAATTATAGGGGGAAAATGAATGAAAGGGGGTTTCTACTGCATAAATAGCAGGCAGATATTCCAATGTAAAAACTATGGAGACACACAGTTCAAAGAGTTCATCACACAGAGCAAAAGGATTGGGTCGTGCCCAAGGTCCACATACCACTATAATTAACTAGCTACCATCCTCTAGGCCTGGAATTAATATAAGCATTGGCAATAGCATTCCAACAGAAGACATAGCAATAGCAATAGCAGTTAGACTTATATACCGCTTCATAGGGCTTTCAGCCCTCTCTAAGCGGTTTACAGAGTCAGCATAT